GAATCCTAATGGAATAATTCAAAAGGAAATTTGTGTCACGCAGCTGTAATGTATGACCTGTAATAAATCTGCCAGAAGTTCCTGTACTTCCCCTAACCTCCGCACCCCACCCCAAGATCTCTAGTGATCTATGATGGATTACAATCCAAATAATCAAAAGTTCACCAGTTAGTAAGAATAGACTCTTTGCAGCCTCGCCACAGTGGTACAGTTGGAGCAGAATGCTCTGTAATGCTGGAAGCCAGTGGAAGGTCAGGGCTCAGTTCCCAGGTCAGCTTGTATGTGCCAGGCACATGTAGGTGTGCCTGTGATCCTGGCTGGTTGAAAGGCTAGGGAGGGGGAGAGGGCAGGAATCATGATCTAAGATCCTGTTAAGGATGCTTGTTTCTCCCTCTCTTTGTTCTCTTTCTGTCTGGACTCATGAAATAAAATATGTAACGTGTTTTGTTTTTGAGAGGTTTTTGCTATAGGGCGCATGCGCTTGCCAGAAAGACCAAGACAGAGAAACAGAAAGCGAAAAATCACCCTCCGGGGGGATGGCCAAGTCGCAATCCCTTCTCCTCTATCCTCCTCTCAGGGTCTTGGGCACGCACACACGTATGCCCAGCATGAGTTTAAGCCACCGGGTCCAGGACTCGAACTGCGGTTGACTACATGGGAGTCCAGTGACATAGCCATTATGTCAACTGCTGGTCCCAAAGTTTTAAACTTTTTAAAGAAGACAGTAGAGGGATCAACAGATGGCATAATGGTTATGTCACTGGACTCCCATGAAGTTGACCGCAGTCTGAGTCCCAGACTAGGCAGCTTAAAAAACTCATGTGGGGTCCAGGGGGAGGGAAGGCAGGTGGCATGGTGGTTAAGGGCACTGGACTCCTATGTGGCTGACTGCAGTTCGAGTTCCAAACCTGGGAGCTTGCTTTCTCACTCTCCCTCTCATTCTGTTTCCGTCTCCCTCTCTCTCGCTCTCTGGTCAAATTAAAATAAATAAATAAAGTTAAATTAAAAAATATTCCTTTAAAAAAAGTAAAAACTCATACCAGGTGTGTGTATGTGTGTGCCCAAGATCCCAAGAAGAGAATGGAGGAGAAGGAATTGTAGCATGGCCATCCTCCCAGGGGGTTGATTTCTCATTTTCTGTCTCTCTGGTGATGCATGTGTCCTATAGTAAAAATCTCTCTTAAAAACAAAACAAAACAAAAATAACAGAAGACAGTAGACTCTTTGGTGCAGAATAGAATAGGAACATACACCACATACCAGTCTTCAAACACATAGTATTTTGTAGAATACCTTTTTATTCATATAATTCTGTGTGAATATTTGTTCATTTTGCCTTAAAATGAAGCCATCAAGATGTTGTCCTGTATCTTAGAACTTTCCAGTTCTCTTTATGGGAATTTTAAAGTCATGGACCAGAAAAGCAGAAAATAGCATTTTGCCAATGACCAATATTAGTCCATACACATAACAATTGATGCAATAATTCTGTGATTTTTGAGGACTTCCACTGTGGGGTCAAACCAAATAAAACACACAAACATCAGACAGCTTTGTTGAAAACTCCTCAATGTCATCTTTTTACCATGTTGACATAGTTTAATTCAAGCCTTTATTACTAAATTCTAAGTTTATGCCATGGCAAAATTCTATTTTATAGAGACGTCCTAATGTTAATCTTTGAAACGAGTGCATTTTTGATAGTTTTATTAAATATCGTTCAAGTCCAACACATCCAGCAGGACTAGGTAGACTCATGGATGAGAAGGTTGGAGGATAGAGAAAGGTAGTGAAAGAATTAAGAATGGAAGGAGTTCTCAGCCTGGGAATCTCCTTACATGCTTTCTGATTCAACGGACTAGTGGAATAATGAAAATAAAAAGAGAAGTGTCAACAGAGATAACAAGGGCAGGAAGTGACCTGTTACTGACTTTCCAGAGTATAACATGCCAGATACTGGGAACCAATTCTTTTTCTTTTTTGGGGGAGAGGTTTTTGCTATAGGGCGTGGGCACTCGCCAGACAGACGGAGAGAGACAAGAGAGATAGAAAGCGAGAAATCACCCCCCAGGGGGGATGGCCATGCCACAATCCCTTCTCCATTCTCCTCTCAGGATCCTGGGCACGCACACACATGTGCCCGACGTGAGTTTTAAGCCACCGGGTCCGGGACGCGAACCGCGGTCGACTACATGGGAATCCAGCGACATAGCCATTATGCTAACTGCTGGTCCCCTGGGAAACAATTCTAACATGGCTCATTCTTATTTCTTTAGGAGTTGACATATGACACCTCTGAGCTTTTAGATGACGAATGAAAGCATATGTTAAAGCAATACTGGAATTTTTGAATTACTGACGAACATTTATGTTGTGTGTGGCCCTTGTGAGGAGTACCACATGCTGTCTAATAACATATTCTCCAAAAATTGTGAACCAAATAGAGTGCTGAGAGGCACAGTGCATTTTCAAGCAGAAGTCCAAATTAGGCTTTCCAAGAAGTCCGAGTGCTAGCTTGTTGACAACGCTCTGAGCTTGGAAGTAAGAGGGTGATAGGGAAAGTGGGTCACATTTTGTGGTGGGAAGAGTTCTGGCACCTAGTTCAGAGACACATGTTTTGTTTTCTTCTTCTTTTATTTAATTTCAAGTCCTGAAATGAAATAATTCAATTTAAAAATTCTGACAGTTCTGGGCCAGCCAATTGGCATATCGGTTCAGGTAGCTGGGTGTCTCACATGGCTGACTGTACGGTTCGAGCTCCGAATCTGGCAGCTCGAAAACACACAAGGCAGGGACCAGCAGTTAGGGTAATGGCTATGTTGCTGGACTCCCATGTAGTCGACCATGGTTCGAGTCCTGGACCCGGTGGCTTAAACTCATACTGGGTGCATGTGCGTGCATGCCCAAGATCCCGAGAGGAGAATGGAGGAGAAGGGATTGTGGTGTGGCCATCCCCCACCCCCCAGGGGGGCGTGGTTTCTCACTTTCTGTCTCTCTGTCACTCTATTTCTGGCAAGTGCACGCACCCTATAGCGAGGAAAAAAAAAAAAAAAAAAAAACTCTTCAAAAAAAAAAAAAAAAAAAAAAAAAAAAGAAAGAAAGAAAACACACCAGGCACATGGGCGTGCATGCTCACAATCCTAAGAGAATGGAGGATACTGGACTGCAGCCTGGCCATCCGCCCTGGGAAGTGCTTTCCCACTCTCCCTCACACTCTCTCTCTGTTGCTAGTGAATGCACTCGCCCTATAGTAAATTAAGAACAAAACAAAACGCAAAACTCTGACAGTTCTTTTAAAAGACTCATTAGAACATTCAGTGGGAAAGTTAAAATGTGAAACTACATTGATCTTACAGTCATTGAGGACTTGACGTTCTGAAATTCCATCTTCGGATTCGAAGTGCAGACCTCAGAACCAGTGCAAGAGACTGGTGTGACTTGCCCGTCAGGTAACTCTGAAGACATGTTGCAGGACTTGGGGGAGCAGCCCAAAGCACAGTGGTTGCTGAGAGGCCTGCTGCACTCTGAAGCTCACATATGTGCAGGGGTGTAGACTAATAGAACAAGACTCAGGACCAGCAGATGGCATAATGGTTACATCGCTGGACTCCCACATAGTCAACCATGGTTCAAGTCCTGGACCTGGCAGCTTAAACTCACACCAGGAGCGTGTACATGTGTGCCCCAAATCCCAAGAGTGGAGGAGAAGGGATTATGGTGTGGCCATCTCCCCTGGGGTGTGATTTCTCGCTTTCTGTCTCCCTCTGTCTCTCTAGTGAGCACACGCGCCCTATAGCAAAGAATCTCTTTGAAAAGGAAAGAGTAAGAACAAGACTCAGCAAAACTGTTGTCCTGACTGCCCGTCCTCGCATGGCCATGGACTCGCTAGGCCCTGATTTTCCATCCCTAAGCTCCAGCTCTCAGAGTTTATGAGTCCATGTGCCATGGAGGATGAGAACAGAGCAAACAGGGGAAGTATATGGGTCCCGGTGTGTGGCCCTAAACCATGTGTCTTTTGGAGACATATCTGCTGACAGGAACTGCACAGCAGAGTGGTGATACTTGATGACAATTCATTGTACACTTGAAGAAATCACCAAGTCGGAATGAATGCTGGCCATGGCAGGTATTTGATCACCCTGACTTGATCATTACACACTATACACTTGTTTTGCAAAACCATACCCTACCCGATAAAGCTGAACAACTATTATTCTTTTTTTTTTTTTTTGGAGAGGTTTTTGCTATAGGGGCATGTGCTCGCCAGGAAGACAGAGACAGAGAGACAGAAAACGAGAAATCACCCCCCAGAGGGTATGGCCACACTGCAATCCCTTCTCCTCCATTCTCCTCTCAGGATCTTGGGCACGCATGCACATGTGCCCTACGTAAGTTTAAGCCACCAAGTCTGAGACTCGAACCACGGTCGACTACTTGGGAGTCCAGCGACATAGCCATTACGCTAACTGCTGGTTCCCACAAATATTATTCTTAAAACAGGAAATCAGACAAACAAGAATAGACCTGGACAGGTGATGAGATTATCAGTGGTTGAAACATATTTTGTTTTTCTATACTTCTTTTGTCCCTTTATTTTTTCTGCAATGACTATGTGTTGCTGTTATATTAAAAATGTTATGGCAGGGGTGGAGAAAGTTAATATCAAGGAAAAACAAAAGCAGAGATCTGATCTAAGCCCTGGGAGTATGAGGAAGTACCCTGGAGGCACACACCTCATTAACATGGGTATGCTGGGCTCAGCCCCACCTTCAGGATCCTGGGATAGCCTCCTGCCTCTAAGACGGAGATTATCAGTGAAGCATCAGTGCAGGTGGAGTCAGTGTCCACAGTGACCTGCAGTGGCATTGTGTGTTCCCTCTGACCCAGGCCAATCAAGGCAAAGTTTATGTGGAACTTAACTTGGCTGTTTCTGTTGGCAGGAATGACCTGCAGGCTGGCCAGATTGACTCAGGTGAATGTCCTGTTGTGCTGTTTTTCAGCTCGCCCGTGCTTCGTTGGGGAGTGGAGCCCCTGGAGTGGGTGTGCAGACCAGTGCAAGCCAACAACCCGCGTGCGCAGACGCTTGGTGCAGCAGGAACCTCAGAATGGCGGGGCGCCCTGCCCACCCCTGGAAGAGCGAGCTGGCTGCCTGGAATATGCCACCCTGCAGGGCCAGGACTGCGGGCACTCCTTTGGTACTGCCGCTTTCATGGTTGCTGCCTTTCTTATCTTGGGTGATTTTGGGGTCACTCTTTCTGTAAAAGGCCATATGCTGTGCAGGGAAAGTTCCGTGCGCTGCAGGGAGTAGGGTGGGCCAGTCTGCCTGAGGTAGATAGGAAGCTCAGGAAACGCGTACTACAGGGATTGATGGCCAGCTGCACAAATGCCTCCCTTCCCCTCAGTGTATTTTATGACCTGATGGCCTATTCTCAGTGTGCATGGACTCAGTAACAAAAGAAACCCAATAAACCATGTGGTTTTGGTGAACACAATCAAGCTGGTCACAGAGGACTTGAGAAAGGACGGTGCTATTTCACACAGGATAGTAAGTGTCCACTCAGGATAACGCCATTGGGCCATCGAGCCAACAACAGGAAAAGCACTAATTTCTCAAGACAGCCAAGACTGTTTATTTTTTCATAGGAACGCGAGGAAGTTCATGTCAACATGATCATCTCAAGTCATTTCATTCCTTCTTTTCTTCTGCACACAGTTATTTATTGAGTCCACTTAGGATGGGCACTGAGCTGGGTGCCAGGGTTACCGTGGTGAGAAGAGTTGGTGTGGTGCCTGCTGCCATGCAGATCAGTCCAGTGGGCGCGAGTATGATAAGCCAGTAACCCTGGAAAACTAGTCCGAGAATCGATAGCTGTGGTAACTGGTGCAGCTGGCGGCACACTGGAGAGAGGTGCATGGAGCTATGAGTGGGTGAAATAAGGTGACCCCATGGTCTTAGGGCGCTTCCTGGAGATGTGGCTGAGATATGGAGAGCTGCCCCAGCAGACTGACCAGCGTGGTTCACTGAGGTGGAGTGCAGGGATATGAGAGGCATGGCGGCTAATTAAGGGAGGTGTGACGTGAGAGGCAGTAACACAGTGAGCTTCACTGAGTGGTGCTGGAACAGGGGTGCATGAGAGGCAAGTCCTCACATCATGAGACCATCAGAGGCCTGCAGTGGGCTCAGCTGGGGGAGGGGAGGACCCAGGAGGAGAGGAGAACACAGGGACTTCTGGGGAGAGGAAGACTGGAGTATTCTCCTTATGTGAGAGATGTCCCTCAGCAACAGAGGAGAGTCTCTGGGTCAGAGTACTCCGGAAGGCGATAGCAGCTTCAGTCTTGTCACCACAAGGCTTGAGGCCATCGGTGGTGGGTCAATGTTGGGTATAGGCTCACAGTTGTGCAAAGCAAGCAGGCCCTAAATAGCTAAAAACCTGCCGCCTTGACTATTTTTAAAACGACTGGATGTGTAACAATTTGAGTTTGGTGCCAGCAGGCTTTTGAACTAGAATCTCCGCCCACAGTAAGGAATAAACAATCTACAAGCCATCTTTGACTCATTTATATAACACTGGGGCTGCACAAGGCCTGTGTGAGAAGCCAAAGGAGTAGGGTGTAGGGAGCAGAGAAAATTATCTATTCAGGTCTTTATCTTTTTTTTTTTTTTGAGAGTTTTTTTCTATAGGGCGCGTGTGCTCGCCAGACAGACAGAGAAAGACAGAAAGCGAGAAATCACCCCCCAGGGCGGATGGCCATGCCACAATCCCATCTCTTCCATTGTCCTCTCTGGATCTTAGGCACGCATGCACACGTGCCTGGCGTGAGTTTAAGCCACCGGATCCAGGACTTGAACCATGGTCTATTACATGGGAGTCCAGCGACATAGCCATTATGCTAACTGCTGGTCAGTCCCTCAGGTCTTTATCTTAAGAGCCTTGGGCCCTAGAAAGCCCCTGGGGTGTTTTCTGCAGGAACCAATGAAGTGAGATTTGTGATTTGAAAAGATCACTCTGCAGTGGAGGGAGGGCTCCAGATAGAGTCTTCTCATTGATGTAACAATCCTACTAAGCCCACAGAGAAATTATTTGGTGCCTGGAAAGTGGTGTCACAGAAACAGCCAAGGAACAAAATCACTTTCAGCTCCAGCACTCTGCAGAAACACTACAGAAAAGGTTCGGGGAGGAAGCAGCTCTACAACACCAGTGATTTTTTTTTTTAATTTTTATATTTTTTTTATGAGTCTTAAAACCTAGAGTTAACATAGGAGAAGCAACCAACCTACTCATTACCAGTGTTCAGCAGCTAGAAAGCATTTAATATTTTTTTTAACTTTTTTTTGGGAGAAGTTTTTGCTATAGGGCACATGCACTCGCCAGAAAGACGAGAGAGAGACAGAGAGACAGAAAACGAGAAGTCACCCCCCAGGAGGGATGGCCATGCCGCAATCCCTTCTCCTCCATTCTCCTCTTGGGATCTTGGGCATGCACGCACACATCCCCGGCGTGAGTTTAAGCCACCGGGTCCGGGACTCAAACCATGGTCGACTACATGGGAGTCCAGTGACATAGCCATTACACCAACTACTGGTCCCTAGAAAGCGTTTTTCAGCAGCTGAGACCATTGCTGCACCAGGCGGCCACTGAGCCTTTCCAGCTCTGTTCTTTACGAATGGACAATGTAGGAAAGGTAGCAGGTGGGCCAAGGACACCAGGGAGCATGACTGTCATCACTTTAAGGGACAAGTGCAACCCCTGACAAATCTGGCCTGCAGCCAGACCCCAGGGATTTCTTCTCTGGCTAGGCATGTCTGTTCTTCTGTCTTCTGTCTGGCCTGCTTTCCTTCGAATGTCCTTGTACAAACACAATATTTTTACTTCATAAGTGAAAATGATACACATTTGGTAGAAACAAACTTTGAATTTTTGAATTTCAATCTTTTCCCAGGCTAGCGATATGTATGTAGTATGATGCTCCCTCAAGTGCTGGGCACTCATAGTCAGCCATGAGATCACAAATAAAGAACCTATACTCTATAGTGTGCTTTGTTGCCAGATACAGATTTTCCCCACCTGTAGCCTAACAGATGTGTACGAACACATTTAACGTAGACAAGTCTAAGCTATAGCATTCAGTCAGTTAGGTGTATTAGATGCCTTTTCAACTTAAGATATTTGCATCTCCTGTGACTTTATCTGGATATAGCCCCCTGATAAGTAGAGGAGCACCTGTATTCTCAAATGATCTCTCTCAGTCCTCCCACCACACTCCACTAAGAGGATTTAAAGAAGCACGCAGTCTTCTCTGACTTCACAGATGTCGCGAAACATTTTTTAAAATTCAATCAAGATACAATGAAAGATACAAATGAAAAATACATGACATACAAACAATTATCTTGAAATTATTGGGATGAATAGAAATGTCATCATGCATACTTTAATCCTAATGAACATATAAAATTAAACCAATTTGTAAAATAACCTGCCACATAACAGAATGTAATCAATTTCATGATAAACATGTTCTTTTTTTAAAATATTTTTCTGTCAAATGTTTCTTCCCCTTGGACCTCATACCCACTCTCTACCATTCACTCTTCCCCCTTACAGTCTCTAGCATTTTCACCTATCCTCTTCACTATCATGGTTTCAAGTCTCTCAATCTCTACCATAGCACCCAGTACAAACTGAGTGGGGATATACAATGTGTATCTTTCAAAGTCTGGCTCACTTCGCTAAACATTAAGTCCTCTATCTTTATCCATTTTGAGTCAAATGATAAGATCTCATTGGTTTTTTTTTAGAACTCATTGTTTTTTATAGCTCTGTATTATTCCATATTATATATGTGCCACAGTTTTTCAACTCAGTCATAAACTTTTGGACACTTAGGTTAGGTCTATGTTTTAGCAACTGTAAATAATGCTGCAATAAACATGGATGTGCAAATGTCTTCTATTGAGTGTTTTCCTATCCTTTGGTTAAATACCAAGAAGTGGGATTACTGGGTCATATGGAAGTTCTATTTGTAGGTTTTTGAGAAATTTCCATATTGTTTTCTACAGAGGTTGTACTAATTTACATTCCCACCAACAGTGTAAAAGAGTTCTCTTTTCACCACAGGTTTGAACAAAACTTTGATTTTTTTTTAATTTAAATTTATTTATTTGCATTCATTCACTGTACATCATTACAGCATACAAAATGAGATTTTCCATCCAGAGTACACTGTATATTGTCTCAATCAAGCACATCAACAAACATGTTATTGTCAGCAAATAAGTTTCCATTTCTTGTTTTCCGTATGTTTTGCTTTTTGTCCCCCATCCTTCATTTCCTATCTCTTACCCTCTGCCATCTCCCACTCTCCTCCCACCCTGTCTCTGGTATCTATGTTTGCTTTCTATACTGTTTTTCCCCCACATTTTATTGAATTACTAAAGATCTTAAAACTTTGATTTTAATACCAGCAGGAGATATCTGTACTTAACAGCTTCCTTTCCTAATAATGTAAAACGAAATCTCCTAGTTTGGAAAGAGAAATAAAATTTCTACTAGGAGGTGAGGCCACCGGCATTTGCAGTTCTGACTTTGATCTTGGAGGTTCCTCTTCTCATTGAGGATGTCTTAGCTGGCTGGAGTGATAGGACCCCTTGAATATTGCAGTCTGATTATTCATAACCCGTGGTCCTGGACCAGTAGCATCAACATAACATGGAAATGTGTTAGAAATGCAAGTTCCTCCGGCCCCTGGCTTCCTAGGGGTAGGCCTTGTCACAGGCTTCTAGGGGATTCTGAGGTCCGGAGTTTGAGAACTGTCCAGTCTCAGCATGGACACACATGCTGCATCATAGCTGTACCACTAAAACACCTTCCTGAAGGCAGAAGCTGCCAACATGCATCTTCTTTCATTTTAATAGTTGTGCAAAAAGATGGGGGAATTAGTCAGGAAAATGTGGGGTAAATCAGTCAGACAGTTTGGTTTACCAAGGAACGTTTTAGAGCCTTCATTAAGCTAATATGCATTTTCATTCTCTAAGAGGGTGATAGGATATGCAGTGTTTTTCCACTTTGATTATATGACCCTTGTTCCCATGGGGTACACAACTAAAACAATTTGTGTTCTGTGGAATACACTGGGAAATGATGGGTTTCATAGGGAAACAAGAGACAGTATCATAAATAGCCCATTTGGGGTT